TGATGGTATATTGTAATTGTATTTATTTTTAATAAAGATTAAGACGATGACACGACAATAACGTACTGCGCAGGTTTACATACGATAATGGACGAAGAGTATTTTGTTACCTTTTTACCATCGACAATGGACGTAGAGTATTTTTATTGTACTTGTAAGTAATAAGGAAACGACGATAATGTATGACTATAATAATAATACGACTTCTTAGACTTATTCTAAAATACTGAACTTTTGACTGCTACCTTCCCGTATTCAGAGATCCATAAAAGTAATGTCTCCTTGGTTATTACATTTATTACGGCCCCTTTGACAATGCAGCAGCGTGTATTCTTTAAAGATTTCTACGATTTTCCATTCTTTTTTCTATAAATTTCTACGGATATCAACCTTTCAACGTTTCACTCTTCATCTTCTTCTTCAGTAGTTTTTTGTTCTTAGGCGTGTTTTGCTCTCTACATGATTTCTAAGTATTATTCAATGTTTAGGTCTTTTTGGATCCTCGTATCAATAAATTTTAAGGAGATATTTGTCTCCTCTTTCCGTCTGCCTGTCCTTTTATCTGTATTTTTGTCTGTCTATCTTTCCGTTTGTCTGCCTAAGATCCTTTTGACCATTTTGCACCTGGTGACATGCCACCGAGACTTAGGTCCTTTTGTCCACGAAACGAAACGTAACGAAATGTATCGAAACGTGACGAAACGTGACGAAACGTGACGAAACGTAACGAAACGTAACGAAACGTAACGAAACGTAACGAAACGTAACGAAACGTAACGAAACGTAACCGAAACGTAACGAAACGAAACGAAACGTAACGAAACGTAACGAAACGTAACGAAACGTAACGTAACGAAACGTAACGAAACGTAACGAAACGTAACGAAACGTAACGAAACGTAACGAAACGAAACGAAACGAAACGAAACGAAACGAAACGAAACGAAACGAAACGAAACGAAACGAAACGAAACGAAACGAAACGAAACGAAACGAAACGAAACGAAACGAAACGAAACGAAACGAAACGAAACGAAACGAAACGAAACGAAACGAAACGAAACGAAACGAAACGAAACGAAACGAAACGAAACGAAACGAAACGAAACGAAACGAAACGAAACGAAACGAAACGAAACGAAACGAAACGAAACGAAACGAAACGAAACGAAACGAAACGAAACGAAACGAAACGAAACGAAACGAAACGAAACGAAACGAAACGAAACGAAATGAAACGAAACGTAACGAAACGTAACGAAACGTAACGAAACGTAACGAAACGTAACGAAACGTAACGAAACGTAACGAAACGTAACGAAACGTAACGAAACGTAACGAAACGTAACGAAACGAAACGTAACGAAACGAAACGTAACGAATACATCAACTGTTTCCCCATTCCTTTCCGACCAATAGCAACGAACCTTGACGGTTGACAGGTCCTTTTGACTCCGCCATCTTGTATATGGATAGTTCACGTGAACGATGATCGCCATCTGACGAATATTAACGAAGATATAAAGTGACAAGCGAGAACTGACCCTTGAACTGCGCATGTGCACATGCCATCTAGATGACATTGTCATCTACCATTTTCAACGTTCAAATCTGATCGATATTAACGAAGATATGAAAACGGTATTATGAACTGCGTATGTGCGAAATGACAACTAGATGTCATTCTCTACACGTAGCCGTTTGAATCGCTAAGGCCTTTCTGGCTTTACATAAAAATTCTCTTCTACGTTAATCATTCTCTACGTAATGCCGTTTTTCCCGCTTAAATCGGACCACGTGATATACGCTAAGGCCCTTCTGGCTTTACACATGAGTTTTCTGTTCAATGTTCATCATTCTTTACGCAATGTCGTTTTTCCTGTTTAAATCAGACCAACGATAGCTGAGATATTTGCTAAGGCCCTTGTAACATTGCGCATGATTTTTCTATTCGACGGTAATCTATATTACGATCTCTACGTAATTCCGTTTTTCCCGTTTGAATCGGACCAACGATAGCTGAGATATTCGCTAAGGCCCTTGTGGCTTTTCGTTCTGCGCATGATTTTTCTCTTCTACCTTAATCTATACCACGATCTCTACGTAATGCCGTTTTTCCCGTTTGAATCGGCCCAACGATAGCTGAGATATACGCTAAGGCCCTTCTGGCATGATTTTTCTATTCGACGGTAATCTATACTACGATCTCTACGTAATGCCGTTTTTCCCGTTTGAATCGGACCAACGATAGCTGAGATATTCGCTAAGGCCCTTGTGGCTTTTCGTTCTGCGCATGATTTTTCTCTTCTACCTTAATCTATACCACGATCTCTACGTAATGGCGTTTTTCCCGTTTGAATCGGCCCAACGATAGCTGAGATATACGCTAAGGCCCTTCTGGCATGATTTTTCTATTCGACGAAATTTAACTCCCCCACTCCTCTCACTACCCCGTTTTTCCCACTCCCCCGTTGGTGGCTCGACGAGTTAGTTGAGATGGTGTGACCTTGATTTAGACAAAAATTGCTAGAATGAACCTTAGCGATTTTCCATGTTAATTTACATAAGGATTGTGCCAGAACTGTTGCTGCCCCTTTACTGCTTCTGCTTCGGAATTGTCGGTTTTCTTGTTTTAATTTGACAAGTTAAAACGACTAAACCGACAATTCCGGAAGCAGAAGCGGATGATTAAAACGTACCTGATATTTTGCTTGCGGCTGTCAGTGTCAGTGAATATTATTTTTTGAGTCTAACAGATTATTGCTAAAGAATCAGTTAGCTCACTCGGACCAGTTGAAAGTTTCAAAATAAGATCCACTCCAGGGATACAAATTCAGGATACGCAGAAGACTGCTGTTTTATTATAGGCTGTTGTCATATATTGTATTATCCGAGTTACGCAGTGTATAAACTGGAACATTGAGATCAAAAGTGCCGACGCAGAGTGAGCGATCTGATTCTTTAGCTATAAACTGTCGCATAGGGTTCAAAATGGCCGGGCCCTATGTTGGGCGTGTCAGACCTCTCTCTTGCGCCGTATAGTAAAGAAAATCAAAGTATATGTAAAAGGCACTCAGAAAGCTGCGCAGTGCGACCCTTCTCCGTATAGTAAAAGAAAATCAAAGTATGTGGCTGTTCCTAAAGTGGCGCTGGGAAACAGTAACAAAGCCTACACAGAACACGAGGCGAAATAACCTTAGCAGTTGAAGCCGATGACACAAAAAAAAATCGTATTTATTCAATTTTCATATTTTCTAAACAAAAAAAAAAACACTAAAAAAGAAATAAAAAAAAACAAAAAAAATTCTGGCCTTGCCAAGATTTGAACACGGTCGCTCGCCGGGTCTCAAGTGGCAAAGTTGATAAGTTCGACGTTCTAACCAACTGAGCTAATAGCCCTTGTGTCAAATGAATGATCTTATCGGTTATGTATTTAACCAGAATAAAGAGCAAACATTATTTTAAAATTATTTTAATAATAATTGTTAAAGATAAATATCTAGGATCTAATTTACAACAATTTCAATAATTTAACAATTATATCGATTTTAGTATTAATATGGACAATTACATAGATCAAAATAGAAATTAGGTGTTTGACATTTTGTGACAGCTACTGCGGAAAGTAACATATTCGTACACGGGTGGAAAGTAAATTCTTATTCCCACGCGTGGGATATAGGGCACTTTCCATAGGACTATATAGTGTGATATGTGTCACTTTCCTAAGTGGTCGTAGGAAATAGTATATTACATTACGAGTGTGGAAAGTGACATTTTTCACACGAGTGCGACTATCACACGAGTGTGGAAAATCACTTTTCACACAAGTGATGTACAATATTTTTCCTACGACTACAAAATAATTTCATCAAAAAATGTAAAACCAGATTATTATAATAACTAAAATGTATTTAAAAAAATAATCAACAATAATCGTATTTATTAAATTTTCATAATTTCTAAACAAATAAAAAAAAAATAAAAAAAAAATTCTGGCACAGCCAGGATTCGATCGCGGTCGTTGGACGGTCTCAAATTGCAAAGTTGATGCTCTAACCAACTGAGCTAACAGGCCTTACGGTAATTGATTGATCTAATCGCTTATGTGTTTAACCAGAATAAAAAGCAAATATATCTTAGTTATTTTAAAATTATTTTAAAAATAATTGTTAAAGATAAATATCTAGGATCTAATTTACAATAATTTAACAATCATATCGATTTTAGTATTAATATGGACATTACATAGATCAAAATAGAAATTATGTGTTTGACATTTTCTGACAGCTACTGCGGAAAGTAGCATATTCTCACTTGGGTGGAAAGTAAATTCTTATTCATACGCGTGTGATATAGGGCACTTTCCATAGGTCTATATAGTGTGATATGTGTCACTTTCCTAAGTGGTCGTAGGAAAATATAATTTTTGCTTAGCGATAACACTGTTGCTAGTTGCGTGCACTAATATTAAAAATCCCCAGAATATATTAGAGGGAATTATTATGTATTGAGTTGGCAAACAAAGTATGAAAATAAATTGGATATTATTTATAGTTTAATTATTTTATCTTCGAATAAACGATAAATTATTTTATCACATAAGAGATAAGTGTAATTTTTTCAATGCTCTAAAAGTTGGGACATAACTGACGTCAAAATTCTAATTAATGTTGGAAATTGGGTATTAATACACCGCGATCTAAAAGATCTTTTGTGTCCTATTATAGTTAAAATCCTTTATTTTTTCTTGAAGATAGCATCAGAGAAAAATATTACTAAGACTTCTACTAATATTACTTAGAAAAAAAATGCATTGGATGAGGATATTCAAACGGAGCATAGTAATTTTTAAACTAGTTGACAGTACTCATTGTGCCAATTTTTCTAGACAATTGCAACTACATATACAATACGGTGTATTATTGTGATGTCAGAAGAAAACACATATTGCGTCATCACTAATATAACGTTTCTGGCGATACATTTTCAGTCCTTACCATGAGTATCATATCGTTTTCACTTGAATCAGCTAAATTATTTTCCAAATATTCCAAATCGTATTTGGTGACAGAATTATTTAGGTTTAAGCAATTGTTCGTTAACCATGAGTATCCCTGTAACATAAGAAAATAATAAAACAGATGTAAATGTTGTTTTGAATAATTAATGAATAACTATCCACACAGTTGTTGTCTATGCTCTACTATAATGTACCAGTTTTTCGAAAAAGTCATTGTTCATAATTTCTCAACGTTAATCGTATTTATTTAACAAGCAAAAGAAATTATGAAAATTTAAAATTTATAATAAATATTTAAGTCCATCCGTGGACTTAACGTATAATGCTGTAGGATAAGTCCAATAGAGATGCCAACCTTTTTTAAATGTTTAAATAAAAAAAATATTTTTCGTTATATTTATTTAAATTTATTAATGTTAACACCAAACAACATAACTAAAAGATACTTTAGCGTAAAAAATTATAATTCTTATAGAAAAAGTTACATTGTAAATTAAAAAAATAATTCAGTTTGGCATCTCTCCCATTTTGTCTGGGTGAGATGCCCATCTGTGGCGGTACAGATGCCAATGATTATAACTGTCTACTTTTTTATAGTTAACAGCTTTTCACATCGCTGGCAAATGTTCCTGAATCCAGTGCATCCCTCATGCAACCACCGGTTACAATAGATGCACTGGATCCAATCGTCTTTTTTCTTAGTTAGACTCCACGGCTCTCCACAGCCCACGCATTCGTCATCTTCATCTTGACCAAAAGAAGAATTACTCTCGTGTGTTGAAAAGTCATCTGAGGTGTCACTTGAATTACTCTGCCTTCTATTTTTGCTTTTCCTAACTGTCACCTTTGTTTTGGAATTGATACCAGAAGGGCCTGCTTCATTTTCTGAAATAGAAATCTTTGCTTTCTTTACGGGCTTGTTTTCTTTATTGTTGCTTGCCTCTGATTTCTTCTTTCTGCTTGTTTCAAGTTTTTTAACTCTTTCTAAATTTTCAGGTGATGTCAGAAGTTAAGCCACTTTATCTCCTCTACTTTTAACATTGCTGATAGCTTCAGATAATGGCGCTACAATGTTAAGCAGCTTTCCTGGCGTGTTATTATCTTGAGTATTGTTTTAACCAGTTTGATCTGATGAATTAGGATGTGACTCATCAGTGGCTGAAGTTGTAGCAACATTTAACGCTGATTCCTGTTCGTTTTCCATACGATTAGCTTGACTTTCAGTCTCTAATTGGGTAAATGCATAATCTGGTATTTGGCTCAGATCATAAGGATAGATTCCTGTAGATCGGAAAGCAGATACCGCATTATGTACAGACGCCGCTTTTCCCCATGCCTCGTTTAAAAGTTTGACAAAAAAATAGCAGGATTGGTAATAAACCGATTTTAGACATTTGAGCTGTTTTTTAGCCACCACATTGGTTTAAAATATTTTTTAAACCATATTTAAAGTGACGTCATGAATTAATAGATGGCAAAAATAGGGTGGTTTAAAAACATAACCTGCTAACTGTCATATGACTATGAAGACTACTCTTCATACATATGATGACAAAATTTGAAATATTCTGATTTCGATCGTATTATTTTTTGATGAATTACCGGTTGAAATAAGTTGTAGAAAGGAGAAGCGAAGTTGATTTAAAAAATAAATTGAATTTTTTTTATGATTGTTAAATCAGATGAAGGAAGATGAGTTTGTTTGATAGCGATTTTAATTAAAAATTGGAGTGTTATTAATAAATTGCAATCTGAAAAGTTGTTTATGGTTTTATTTTTGATATATTTCTTGCCCATAAACATGGCATATATTTATTCCGTAGCTCCAACAAATACGCAATTGTCTGACGATCCTTTGCTGTAATTTTTTTTGGGCTTTTCCAAATTTCATCAATTAGAACGTCTTGTGCCAAAGAATGTTTAATTGCTTTTAAATATTTACTGGAAAATTCAGAATCTGAAGCAATCTACGTAATTATTTTTGCAAAAAACGTATAGGTAACTGATAATTAATCCTTTTACCACATTTCAATTGCATCATTATTTCATAATCCAGAGTAACCTATAGGTAGATGACATCTTGTTTATAATGTTTACAACATATAACGATAAATATTAATATTATAACATAATGTATGAATATGAATCACATAATATATGTATGATAATAAAAATTAACAAAACGTCAAATATATCAAAATTTTCAAAGAATGGAACAGAGTAAAACAACATACAACAGCCAAAATCAGAATTTCTTACGTGTCAACCGTTATTGAACCATATGCCTCCGACTGGTTCAAAAATTCTAGCTTTGGTTTAAAATATTTCGTACGTGACGTCATAGTTGCATCGCTAAATTTTAAACGGTTTAAAAAAGTCGAAAATATTTTAAACCAAACACTCGCTAAAAAATACCTTTAGACGGCTCTGTCTAAAGGCTGAAGATAGTGTGTGGTGTGAGATGGCAAGCAAAGCAGAATTATGTCATTCTCTTCTGCAAATGTCAGAACATCTATTGCGTTTGTATGTGAAGTATGACCGTCTAAAATCAAGAGGAATTTTCCTTGAGACTTTTTAGGTAAAAATGCTCCTTTAGCCAACGATGAAACAATTCTGCGTTTATGTAAGCCGACTTTTTTGACATATAAACAACGGATGCTGGTGGCATATCATTTAGAAATCCAGGTTTCTTATTAACACCTTTAAATATGCAGGCGGGAGGTAAAAAGAAACCTTCTGCATTGCAGCAAGACACAACTGTTATAGTTTCACCTGTTTCTTTAGGCGTCGGGGTTGTTACAACCTGGGAACCTTTTTCAGGTATAACCAACGATGGTTTAGTTGTAGACCAGTCTCGTCTACATTGTAAATAGAACCTGGTTTATCGAATAAATCATTTTCTTGCAATACTTAATGCAAAAAATCAAAATAATTCTTTACTGCCACCTTTGTCATTCCCAACATTCTACTTCTTGATAATCCCTCCTCTTTTCTTATTGACAGTTCCAGATTTTTTCTTAAAAATGACTTTAGCCAGTCATACCCCGCTTTTTCTTCTTCTTTGTTAAATTTGTGTTTTATTTGTAATCTTTCAGCTAGTTTAAACGCCATTTCCCTCATATCATCCATAGTGGGAGAAAAACCAAACCTCTGAAGCTTTTTTATATGAGCTACCATCTTCTTTTCGGATTCGTTACCAAGCGTGCTCGCAGGACCCATTCTTCCTTTAGTTACATTATTATTTTCAATCCTTCTTTTTAAGGTTCTAACAGGAATATTGTTCATTCTCGACGCCTCGCCAACTCTCGTTCCATTACTAACGGCTGCAACTGCCAACTTTAAGTCGGCCTCTAACCAATTTCCACAGGTGGCAGATTTTCTTTTGTAAAAGGAAGGCATATCTGCAAATAAATATGCAAAAATAATATTGGCTTCTCTACCGAATATGTTTAGGCATCTCTACCGTTTATGAGGTAGAGATGCCACATTTTCCAAGAAGATTGTTTTTTAGTTGCCGCTAGCCAAACGTACTTCAATATAACCTCAAATAGTGTACTTTTAATAAACATAATCGATTCGCAAATAATCCCAATAAATTATGGCATACTTATAGTCTGACCATTATGTCGATACAATTTTCGATGCACTCAAAACTTTAAAATTGATATAACTTACCGTTAATTAGTGATGTTCACTTTTTTCCCTATACACGTGACTAGCGTACCGCTCTAGTCAACAACAGAACACAGACTAATTTATTCTAACAGCGCACAATCGGGTTCTAAGAAAACGGCATCTCTACCACTATGGCATCTCTACCGAACTTACCCTATAACATCTATAAAGTCTGATGCCATCCCATTACAAAAAAAAAAAAAAAATCTATAAAACGTTTCAGAGCAACTTTCAGTGAAAGTACCGTAAAAGAGCTAGTTTGATGTTTTCTGAACTTCACTTTGTAACCTCTGTGACATGTGCTATAAAAGTTTTGCCGTTGCGGACATTCGGAGGTTGCAGGGATATTAGGATTAGATTAAAAATACATTGCATGCGAGCTTAAAGAGCCTAAAATTGCAGCTTATTAACGTAGATGGGATGTTTTTGTGCTAGCTGGGATGTCACAGAACTCTCTTTGATCATCTACTTAATAGTGTTTTTCTTATAAAAATAGGTATCTAGGTACTTTAGACAATTTGGCGTTCATTGGTGGTATCGTTGAATATACTCAAATCAAATTTACTAACAATCAATTCGTTCGGATCTCTGGTTGGGTCATTCAAACAAATTGGGACATTCTCGCATTCCTTTGTAGTCGGATTGAAGTAGCTTCTTTCTCCAAAATACTTAATCACGCAATCTACTTGATTGCAGTTATCCGCTGGATCTGTATCGCAGGTCGGGCAAATATCTCGACCTAAATGTAATAAAATTAAGTACATACTTTTAAGATCTTCAATTCGATACTACTAAATTTTTTTGCCTTATTTCGTATATATATATCATTATTCTAACCTTCTTCGCTGCTGTTTGTTTGAAAATCTATTATTTTCGTTAGGACCCTTTCAAATTTGGAACTTCTGTACAACACTGAAATCGAGCACGTACCTTTTCTAAAGAATGTGTACTAAAAACATAAAAAATTGTTAGGTTAGGTTAGATAACTTATGTCTGTATGAGATAATACAAGACAATAGAAGATAAAAATGGTGGTTAACTGTTAGTCTTGATATGAGAATAAATAAAAAAACAGAAATTTACCAGTTTAATTAATTTTTTTTGGAATTTCAAAAGAATAATTGAATAAAGAAGAAAAAAATTATATTTTACCAAATTGGGATTTATTAAAGTCACATTTCTAGTCTCCATCATCTTCAGTATCCCCATATATCCACCTATTAAGTACATATTGCAATTGTTTTCATCGAGTTTAGATTGGTCGCAACATTCGTTCATCGTAACTGATATTTCTAGATTTTTATCGCATTGATTTTTTAAAGTAAGATCTACAAAATAAAATGTTTTAGGTATTATTATTATCCTTTTATGATGTAAAAATTGTAGAGTTACTTACAGAAAATGATTGCCATATCGTCTTCTTGGATTGGTAGAATGCCTGCGTCCTGAAAAATTACAATTTTTTTTAGTGTAGTTTGAAGTAAATGTTTAATTTAACCAATTTCCATTTTAAAATAACTTACTATTATTTCTAGATCACATTTGGTAACGCAAAAGGCTATAGAAATCACCAATAAAAATGTAAACATACGTTTTTATATTTTATACAACCAAAAATATATCTTTGGGTTTCAAATTGACAGTAAATTACATATGAACCTCAGAGATTGAGATAGAATCCGAGAATACCGATCATGTTCTCGGATAGAATCACACTACTATACGGTGCAAGAGAGAGGTACGACACGCCCAACATAGGGCGCGGCCATTTTGATTCCTATGCCACAGTTTATAGCTAAAGAATCAGATCACTCACTCTGCGTCGGCACTTTTGATCTTAATGTTCCAGTTTATACACTGCGTAACTCGGATAATACAATATATGACAACAGCCTATAATAAAACAGCAGTCTTCTGCGTATCCTGAATTTGTATCCCTGGAGTGGATGTTATTTTGAAACTTTCAACTGGTCCGAGTGAGCTAACTGATTCTTTAGCAATAAACTGTGACTCCAAAAATAAATTCACTGACACTGACAGCAGCAAGCAAAATATCAGGTGCGTTTTAATCATTCGCTTCTGCTTCCGGAATTGTCGGTTTAGTCGTTTTAACCTGTCAGATTAAAACAAGAAAACTGACAATTCCGAAGCAGAAGCGGATGATTAAAACGCACCTATTAAAAATATTGCGCCAAGATGTAGGCAACACGTAATAAGGGATCAAAATGGCGGAGTTTTCTATCTCCTTTTAAAAGGCACTCAGAAAGCTGCGCAGTGCGACCATTCTCCGTATAGTAAAAGAAAATCAAAGTATGTGGGTTCAACCACATACGAAAATCAAAGTATGTGGGTTCAACAAAGCGGTCATGTTTCCGCGCTTAAACCGAGTTCAGACCTATTTTTGAATTTAGTTAGTTGGTAACACACTACAAAAAAATATTTTTTGGGTTGGTACCTTATACGTTACCGTACATAAACCGTACACCGTAGGGAGGTAAATAGAAAACAAAATAAATACGAATTACTGAATTCCTAATTAATAGTTGTTTCGTAAAAATGGATGAAATGTCTGAAGACAAGGATTTTTTAGAATTAGCAAATATCTTACAACAACCAGAAAGACAACCATAAATATATAGACCAAGGGACAATCATTTTGTGAAGTGGAACAATACTGAATGTGTACAAAGATTTGAGAAGATTTGAGAATTAAATTCACTTTCAATTTTTATCCAGCACTCATTCTTCTTGTGCGTTACATTCACATCTGTTTTTATTTTCTAAAATGTCTTTATATTTTTTCACTAGTTTCACTAGTCCTTCTTCGGCATGCGTGAAGTTTGGCGTTCGTTATATTATCAGTTTGGAAACACAAGGGAAAACTACGTATAACCTCTAAAAATAATAATTTTAGAGTAAAAATGCCAAAAATGACATTTTATGTAGCTCATTTATTTTCTAATAAGAGAAACAAAGATACACTACGTATTTAGTCAAATTAAAATCTGGCAACCCTGAACAATGAAGTTTATCTAAACCGACATTGAGCGGGGTATGTACAATTCATACCAATTTTTAAAGTAAGTTCAACCATTTACCGAGTTCACCTGAACCTAGGTTTTAGCTTACTTTGTACAATCGGGCCTTAGGGTTTTGTAAAGATGAATTAAAAATGAGAGAATTTTGCTGCAGTTTCATTATAAAAAGTATTTTAAATTAATACCTACCAACTGTTTGATTATTGTGTTATATCAGTTTTGGTCTAAAATAACAGTTATGTTAAACCATGATGTATTAAATGAAATTTCTAGACTTTATTATTATATAAAATACAATCTTCCACTTGCACATTTTTATTCCTTGAAACTTATTTTATCAATAAGTGGAATTCTCGGTGGAATTACTAAAAATTAGTTAATATTGCTTACATTTTCTAAAAAAAAAAAAATGTAGATTTGGGGATCGGCCATATTGGGTCAACAACATCCACGCCCAGTAATACCGTTTTAAATGTTTGAAAGAGATATTACTTATAGCGTCTCCCTACCTTATAACTCCATGCTTCTAGTACATGAGCGCCATCTTAATTGTTTTGAAATAAACAACCGTAGGAGATTGTCTTCCTTTCTTCTACACACTATGGACACTTTAGCAATGGCATAGCATCTCCTATTTATTCTATCTCGATGAACTGAAAACCACTAAACTAAATTTCATCCTCCATTTTGAATTTGAATATCCCAAAGGAAGCTGTTTATAAATAAGAGATGTATTGCAATAAAATTAATGTTAATTTTATAAATACAAATACAACAAACACGTTACACATCAGTTGTTTGTTATCGATATTTTAAATTAATTAGTAGATATTCTACTTGATTTGTTACATGTTGCTATTTTAACTTTGAATAGTTGCAACAAGCGAATACACAGATAGTGATTGAAAGATATTCTAGCATCGCCCCGCAGAGTTTTTGAAAACTTCGCCACTCAAAAAAATTCTTGTGTTTCAAAACTTCACCTATAGAAGTATAATTTGTTTCCATCAACCATTTTATCCATATTATCTAGTAGGTACTTACAAAGATAATATGATGTCTGAGATGGATACTTATATTACAGCATAAGCTACTACCAGTACGTCACTTCTAGGGTAGAACGGGTTGCATACCCTTTGGGGTCAACTATTATTTTAAGTTAGTAGCCTTTTGGATTATCTGTTAACTATTGGTATTTCTGATGTTCTGGAAGGTTCCATGTCTTATGTGTTAAATAAAGGTCCTTGAATAGATCTAGAAGGCGAGGTGAATGAAAACAACAAAATATTTATATATTTTATTATTAAAATAATAAAATCTCTAATACTTTTTAAATATAGCTCGAAACATCTAATTTCATAGACTTGTAATCTTAATTCTTAATTTTTATAGTCGGTATTAATAAATGCATTATTTATTTTTCAGATCTATCATGATTAACCTGTCTATCAGTAATTAATCATTTTAGCAGTTTCATTATTTTTTTTGTAGAGCGAATTTCTATAAATAAATCTAAAAGTATTTGCTTTAAGGTAGTATAATAATGTAATGAGCAATTTGTTTTCATGTGGTTACCATCTTGGATTGCATAAAAATCTGGGGAAAACTTTGGAATAATGCTACGGAAATTTAGGAATTTTGAGAATTTGCCATACGCTTACTCAAAGGCATTTCGGTGTTACCGGTTTGGTTTAATCTCCAGATCTGGGGAAAAATCGGGCATAGTGACGTGCACTACTTACATACAGGACGTTAACTTTCCAATACCAACTCCAAGAGAACGGTATGGAAACACAATGCTCTTGAATAGACAGAAATAGAATAATACGTCGCCGACTATGGCCCTAATAACTATGTTTCCATTCTACCTATCGATAATAAAATAATAGGTTCCCCAAAATAATTAAATAATATATAGATATCTGTATAATATAAAAAATAAACATTTTAGGCATATTAGAAAATACATGTCTTGCAATATATTCTATAATGTTCTACCTTGCTACTATATTTGTTGAAATATTTTTTTTATTATAAAGAAATCAGAGAAGGAGTATAGGGATAACCCGTCATACTCTTTATTTTTATTTAAAATTTTAATTTCATAACAAATTATATACATAATACATATTAAAAATATATATATTTTCATCATCTAATAAAATAATTTATTTTATTGCGCCAACATCGGTTCATCTAATGCATGTATTAGTTTCACTGGTGCTCCAACTTTACCCCTTTTGATCACATGAGGAATTGTCTTTGGTACCATACTAAAACCAAAATATAATTTTTATTTTTAAAAACTAATTCCTGTGAATTTTTCATCACGCACAGCACTGCCAAAGTCATACTTACGTAATACAATCTATGACTGGACACACGGAGAGACACATTGTACACCCTGTACAATCATCATTTACACGTGGAATGTGAGTTTCTGGATCAAAATGAATGGCTTGATAACCGGAATCGTTACAAGCCATATAACATTTTCCACAATTGATACACATATCCTAAAAAATATTAAAATCAAGTAAATAATTATCCTTTAAGTAGAGGAAGTTATGTAAGGGGCTAAAGAAACTAGCAGAAGAAGAAAAAAAAAAGAAGAGAAATTTGTCTCGTTTCTACTGTTTGTATCGTTTTTATGTCTTTTACATAATAAGCTGTCATATATTACTTACATCATCAATCAAAGCTACAACTTGTTCTTTATTGTCCAACAGCTTGTACGCCCCGATATTTTGTAAAGCTCTACCTATAAATTCCTGTAATTTTGGGTCTGAAGATTCCGTGGTTCCATTTGTACCGTTCGTTACATTCGTTGAAACCGTTGATGGATCAACATGGTGAGGAATTTCCATTTCTTTGACTTGGGATTCTTTATAAAGCTTGCCCAGTATTTCTTCACGTTTCTTCTGGTAGGTTCCAAAATGAGGCAGTTTCTAAAAAATATCTCATTCAATATAGATGTAGAAATTATTGTAAATATATTTAAAAAAGTATTGGTTGTTCAGAGTACTCAAGTTGTTCATCTGGTACCAGCTACCATATTTGCCGTAATTTCTTTAATTGTGTCGTAAGTAACATAACAAATTTTTGAAAACATGAACATTTATTAAAAGGCCTTTTTACCTTTCCTTGTTCATCGTAGACAGGTACAACGATTTTGCCTTTTTGATTCTTAAAAGTCGGAGGGCTTTGTCCCAACCAACCTTTCAGTTTACCATCCAGGTACATCAAAGCTTTAAGCCCCGTACAATAGTCATCGATGAGTGTAAAGTCTTGATTTTGAACAGCACTACAAATTTGGACAGCTGAAGCTCCACATTGTAGAAACTGGAGGGCAGTTTCAGCTGATTCCACGCCACCAACACCTAAACAGTTATTTTAAAAGTTACACCAGGTTAAACAAAATGAAGTCACATGCATTTTAGTTTTTTTACCTAAAATAGCTAGTCCTGGTACTTTACTAGCTATTGCCGAGACAGCTCTCAACCCCATTGGTCTGGTCGCATTACCACTAACTCCTCCATAAGTTGTTCTTTTATTAACACCGACTGCTGGCCAGGCAGTACCATCTGGATTTAAATGCATCAGACCTGATACTGTATTTATAGCGGAAACACCCGAAGCACCACCTAAAACAGTTTACTGTTTGGTATTTTATAGGAATATTTTTGTATCCATGTCTTCTACAATCGCTTTAAAGTCCATGGTACACGGAATTGGCGATCGACTTGTTGGCCTATAATACAGTATAATATACTATAATACTATAATATTTTGGGGGTTCACAGAATATAGATCTCAGTATAGATCTAGGTACAAGATTTTAAGTGTTCTAAAAAGGTTTTAATATACCGTTCTAAAACACTGAAAGTAATATCAAAACGAGAATTACCTTCTTTAGCAGCTTGAGCTAGCAATGTAATATCAGTAATATTCGGCGTCAATTTGATGAAAAATGGAACTTGAACTGTATTTCTGACCCATTTCGATATATTTGTCACCATTTCTGGTATCTAGAAGTATTTGAATATCAATTTAAATCAAAAGTTTGATCAATATTTACCAATAACTTACTTGTCCGCAAGCTAAACCCATTCCCGACTCACCCACACCATGGGGACAACTTAAATTCAATTCCAGCATATCGGCACCAGCTGCCTCTACTTTACTGGCTATTTCCCGCCAATCTTTTTCGATGTACTCGCACATTATACTGGCAATAATGATCTAAAAATTTAGAACAAACTGATTGACCACATAAAATATATTATTTAAAAATATAAATATTAAGCGTGCCTCGTACATGCTTTACGAAGTTATCTCATTATATTTTCTTTCTTCAATACTTCAATAATCAAAAAATGTTTCATTGGACTTTATATTCAATATATACCTAGTTACTTTTATTATTAAGAAAAAAATAATACTGAAATGTATAATTTATTTTTGCTTATACCTACTTTAGTTGGAAAATCTTGTTTCAGTTCCGTGATTGCCTGCAGCCAATAGTTTAAACATTTTTCAGAAATAACTTCAATATTCAAAAACGAACCTTGTTGGGGCCCATAGTTGCTTCCAGATGTAGTACCCCTAACTATACGGGGTGAGACGTTTGTAACCTCATTCTAAAAACATACAACATTTGCTAAAAATTTATCAATAATTGATAACATTTCTTTTTCGTTTTATTACCAACTAGTCATTTTATCACTAGTAAGGAAATAATTTTTCGTAACTGGGTAACGAAAAATAAGAAATTATCAAACTAGCGTCACTTTTTATGACAAAATTATAACTTACCTTATCTAGACAGAAAGTTTTAGTGACTACGAATCCCCACCCTTGCTCGAAGGCTCTTCTTATCATTGGAGCGCTAGTCACAGGCGGTGCTGAAGCTAGACCGAAGGGGTTCTCGAATTTTACACCGCAAATGTCTACCGACAAATCAACTTCGTCAATATCGGTGTGAAATAGTGGTAACTTTGGTTTTGTTTGTTTGGGAATACCCTGAAAGGGGAAAATTAGTTAGTCTCAATTTTTTAATAAACTGCATATTAACAACCTGCTATTTAAAGCTTTAGGTAAATGTGATGATTACTATAATTAATTGAGATATTGGGAAGGGTGGGTTGCTCCGAGGTGCTTCCTCCAGAGACATACAGGACCTGCCTTTTAACTTGTCAAGGATCTGCTGATTGACGCTGAGAGGTGTCTAGAAACAGCCATCTTCCTAGCTTATTAACGCCCTGTAGGTTTTCAACTCGTCAAGAACCTGATGGTTGTCGCTGGAGGGTATCTAAGCACAGCCATCTTTCCAGCTCATCAAAGTCCTCTAGGTTATCAACTCATCAAAAACCTACTGGTTGTCGCTGGGGGTTTATAGCCTCTCAGGTCAAAGTTCTGCATATTAATAACGTTAGTGCCCCATTTTTTGAAGTAACCATTTGATGGGCTTCTATCACCCTGCTAGTAACTGCCCGGGTGAAGCCACTGGGATCTGGCTCTAAAGGGCAGAGGAGATGCCATCCAATGATAAAGATCCTCGATAATATGACAACTGTTCACTTCACTGATTTAAAACATCAATAAGCCACTATTTCTGTAACCTTTGTCTGATTTTAGGCTGAATGTAGATATGTTTTGCTTTCTCATTGAGATGCTTAGGTTGTTGTTCGGTTGATCTTTAACAAGTGGTATGCCAGAGTCATCGTGTAATGTACCATGGTGAACATTAAAATTATTTTGTAATTTTGATTGAACTATTTGCAATATTTTTGTGTTGGATGGCTTAACACAATCCTAGAGTTGGACACTATTGGTCCAGATAGGCTTTAATATTTAATAGTGTTTTATTTTCTGTGGAGAAATTTGATTTGCATCCTAATAACCATCCTATTTGTTGAATTTTTAGATTCATTTGCGTCTCATTGATATAACTTTTCCATGTAAATTTTTGATCAAGAGTTAGACCTAAGTATTACACTTACCACTTACCTTTCAAATTTAAAGCAGAATTTCCAAATATATATTTACCTCTAGTGATGAGTGTATATACCAAGCCGCAATCTTTCCATCGTTGACAGCTTCAACAGTGGTTTCTGCTACACCTGCTAAATCTCCACCGCACCATACGGAAGGATGAGACGTTTGCATGGTCTGAACATCAACTATAGGGAGATTCTGTTTCGATAGCTTCAAAGGTGCTAGCGCAGCAATAGCTGGAAACCAGTTACAATTTTCATAATTCGAGAACATTTATATTTAATTGATATACTTACTGTCTGGATCCTCCAGTCCTGATCCAAAAGCTGATATCAAGAAACTGGCTTTGATCGTGTTTAATTGATCGACGTCTTGAATCCATTTCCCGTCTTCAGTTTGTTCTGTTCTGCTAAAGGTTACTGAAACAATTCTGCCATCTTTTACGTTCACTGAATGGGGTGCCATGAAGCCTACTAGCTCGCATTTTTCGTCAACAGCTACAGAAACCTGTAAAGTAAAATTTTTTATGCTAGCAATGCAGAAAATTGTACCTATCATTTTAAAACTTACCTCTTCAGGTACAGCTCTGATATTAGTAAATCCTCGTCTAAACACGACGAACACTTTCTTCGCGCCACACCTCAACGCCGAAGTGGCGCAGTCGAAAGCAGTATCACCGGCTCCCAGTACGATGACGTTTCCGTGCAGCTTCGGTAGCTTGTCAGCGTTTCGTTTACAGGGACAACCGCCATCATTAGGGTTTTTACTCGCTCCTGATACTTTGGGTAAGAAGCTTTTCGACGTGTAGAAACCCGTTTTGGAGGTCAAATCTTTGAATAAAGGGTTAATTTTTGGTTCCGGTAGTCCCAAGCCTAAGAAAACAGCTTTAGAGTCTTTCAATAGGTTTCCGATGGTGAGATCTTTGACGGATAGGGACCGGCCTGTTTCGATTTTGACTCCTAGATCTTGGACTAGTTTGATTTCGAAATTGACTACGTTGATAGGTAAGCGGTACTGGGGGATTTCTGTGGCACTAAAATAGATAATAGACTCGGTTAACTATGAAAAAAAGGAAGAAGAATTTGACTAGCCCGCTAGTTCATCTGTATAGACTTTATCACCCACCTTAAGCCACCAAGAACGGAATTTTTTTCGTAAATTGTGATATTATCGTATCCCAGTCTTCCTAAAAACGTAGCGCAAGATAGCGAAGCCGGTCCTGCGCCTATTAATACGATTTTTGCATTCGGATTTTTGGGCTTCGGCGTTCTTGGATCTCTGGTTTGACTGATGCCCATTTTACTAAAAGTCTATAACATAAAAATACAAATGACAATTTAAATAATGTATTCTACCCCAAACTAGTATCTACCTCAGTTGCGAATTGTTGCAATCCACCAATGTTAATAGGTCCTTCTTCAGAAGCTTGTAAATTGCAACCGCCAACACAGAGATCGCTCGTAGGACATACCATCCCACATGTTATTCCCAGTGGGTTATCCGAAAAAATTGCTTTGGCTGCTCCATAGTAATTCTGAAAATAGATATTCAAAAGTTTGGTTACTAATTTCATAGATTACAAATATAAATAGATAATTGAGAGGGCTCAAAACAGTTCTCTGTGGTACTGCAGATGCAAAATAAAGACATCATCATGGTACTGTTTTAAGAACTCAAAGTTATAAATTCGATTCCATCATGAGGATGGTTTGCAAATAATGACGTTCAATGATTAAAAGTAAATCATTAACATAATATTCTCCTACTTACTTTATTTGCAATACTGGTAATAAAAGACTTGACATCTAGCTGAGTTGGACAGGATTTCTGACAGGGGGCATCCGCGCACTTCAAACATCTTGTTGCTTCTTTTAAAGCTGCTCTTTCGCTCAAAGTTGTCGGTTTGACGTCGGAAAAGTTGTTTTCCAGGGTATTGCAACTCTAATAAAACAATATCGGCATCAAAAGAGATTTATACTTGTTTTAAATAGAACTTCACCTTCAATAGATGGTTCTAATAAATTTAGATACAGATTCAATGTCGCAATGAATATTTCAATACAGTTACAAATCCATGAGATGCCAGCTTTTATGGATTAGATGAATTTAATAGGAGTTTGTAAGTATACAGTTTTCAATGAGCTTAAACTTTGATTTTTTATACAGGGTGTCCAGTGAAGATATTCTTAATTCACCTTATGAGAACATTAATAACATTAATTAAATCATGTTAAAAAAGTTTTATTTCTCTTACCAAACATTGAACAAAATTCAACAGCCTAGACTAGGAGGCCATGAAATAAGTGTTATCGCCATAGTAACAAGCAAAAAACATTTTTCTTGTTATTTTATTACTGTACTGTCAATAACTTTTGCTTTTGGACTTGTGTGTGACCTTTTGATTTGGATTTGATTGTATTGGGGATCAAATGAAGTGACCTGACTTTCCTGTGGACTTTGTGTTGATTGAACTATTTGTGTTGGTGAGTGAACTGTTCAATATGCCGCTGCCGTATACCGCCCAGGAGCATGCAAACATGCATCTCATTTATGGGGAATGCAGAGGAAATGCTCTAGCGGCAGCTAATCTTTATCGGGAAAGATATTCAAATTTGATACGATATCCTGATTATCGTGTGTTTATCAATGTTTATCTCGCATATTCGGAGGGCAGGATTCCTCATGCTCCCGTTCGAGAGGGAAGACCCCACATTGATTACGATGATCAAGTATTAGAAGAAATTGAAAACGATCCGACTACTTCGGCGCGAACAATAGAAAAACGAACAGGGATACCCAAATCGACAGTAAACGAGATCACTAGGAGATATCAATATCCTAACGATTTGACGCTTTTGATCCAGTAGGTCTTTCGTAAACTTGGCCGATGGTTCCTTGATGAACTGTTAGGCCTGTCTCAGTCTTGGATAGTTGTTCCACCATTCCTGAGACTCTTTTTGCATCCATTGTTTAATGGATGCATTGCACAATGCCTTAGCAACTCCACAGAAGGGTTCGCGGCCTGTCATGGCCTTATCTGAGCCTTCTCGGGCTAGTTTGTCGGCCTTTTCGTTGCCCTGATATCCCTCATGGCCTGGAACCCAGGCTAAGGTCAGCCAGATTAGTGTAGACCTTTTTTGTACAGTAGGAGGTGTTAAATTTGAGTGATGGAAAATAAAAATAAATTATTTCTCTGTAAGATAAGATTTCTTATTGAATATTTTGAACTTTTGGTTCAATGTTGGTCTTTGTTTAATGAAATGGCTATTCACAGTTGCAAAACCTAAATCAGAATCTAAGAATTATACATTTTTTGGGAGTAACACTCAAAAATCTGATCTAAGGATACGATTTTAACGAATTTTATTAAAGTGACAATATCTCGAAAACCATCGATTTTTTACTAAGGTCATATTATGTTTTTCTGAAAGCTTATGAGTTGGTCCATCACCCCTTTCAGTATTATCAATGACTTTCCGGACACCCTGTATGTATATATGACTCGCTGTGTTGCAACGAGTGTTCTAAGAGGATCATTTTTATTTTGGATTAGGTTCTGTCTATAGAAATGATGCATTTGTTTCGATTGGAAAAATGTCTTCTGGCTTTTTTACCAGATGTGGCTCAAGGATATTGTTTATGATAGTGTAGATACTTTTATACACTCTGTGCAGCTACTTGTCTTGTTTAATATTTTTATATATATATATATATATATATATATATATATATATATATATATATATATATATATATAACTTTTGTTATATGTTATTTGTTATTTATATGTTTAATTAAAAAATGAATGAACTAAGCCTAATCTACATTAAAGCAATGATGAAACTATTTTACTTACTTCACACTTTTTGTCAATGTTCCTTTTCCAATGGGCTTTGTTTACTTTGGTTACACTAGATGGTACGAAATTGGAAGAATCTCGAACTCGTGGATTTAAAGCTAAAATATCCTGAAAACATAAATAATTATAGACTTTATTAAATTTTAAGATAAATAATTAGAGTTGCATTTTTAAAAACTATAGAGTAATGGCTTTACAAGAATCTCTTGTTTTAGTTTTAAAGTGTTATGATCTTTCTAGGTATATTTAATAATTCCATATAAAAAATATGAGTCTTAAATTAACGGGATGTAATTGTTAATTACTTAATCAGTGTATAAAAGTTTCATGCTGTTAAAACATTTTGAAAGTACGATTTTATTGAGAAATGAATCAGTAGATATTATTTGGCACGTATAGTTGGTAACAATGCAAATTATACTCGCATATTGATAGAATCCGCTTCTTATCAGTACTTATCACCTAGCAATTGACATAAAGTATTATTTCAATAGACCACTTCAGTACTGTGCTAAATTAATAAAAAAAAAACTTTATCAAAAATTAAATAAAGTATGATATAATCTTGATAATTCTGTCACAAAGTATATTGACTGCAATAAAGAACATTTGTAATTTATTTGTTTATGTTATAAGTAATCCTATAAAAAATTTTTTATGGAAATTTCCACCTCCAACCTCTCAAAAATCTTGTTGTTTTTTTTGTAACTCAGTTGTTGTTATGTTTGACGAATTTTATAGACCATATTAAGAGAGATATAAGTCACTATCTGTATTATCTGTATTATTAGACAAATTTTGTTAAAAACTGCTAAAAATAGTAAACAAAATATTTTGACAGTTCTGTTATTTTCGATTATACTTTCTTATACACCCTTATTTTTATTTCAGATCCAGATACAACATGAAATTTTCGGGTAATTTCGTATAATGAAGCTAAAATTGGTTAATATATTGTAACGTTTGTTTATTTTAAAACAGTTTCCATGTCACATTTACTTAAATACTAATTTATGTAGACATTTACTACTGCTCACAGATATGTCTTGATTTCAAATGTCACATCAATACAGCCCATTTTTATAAAAAAGTGAAGGCTCTCGAATTTTCCACCAAATTCCTCGACTAATTTTACAATATAAAATCTTCGTAAACGAATATTTTGTTTATTTTAAACCAACAAAAATAAACTTATATATTATATAATAGTGTTTAAAATGCTCAAAAAAAAAAAATTTAATGATAAATCACAATAAAATAACTATTAAAACCTTGTCAGTGGGTTTTTCCCTTAAAAAGGGACATCAATTTAAAATAAGATTTTTTGCTGTTCCCTTTTTTCGATGTTCCACCGAAATATTTTAAACAAATGTATGATACGCCTATGCTTCGGCGAACTTTGGTCACAAGAATAAATAATAATCAGAAGGATATCTCTCATTTAATTCCTTTGTAGTTGATGCCGACGAGCTATGACATTTGTCCTCTACACGGAAAAAAATGTGACTAGAAAATTTTACTACAATGTTGTAGTAGTAAACTTGTAGAAAAATACTTAACAATTTGTAGAAAATTTTACTACAATTTATAGTTAAAAACTATTAATTATTGTAGCAATTGAATTGTCGAATAAAATGCTTCAACAATAGGAAAAAAGTCCACAATGTTTAGTATATTTTACTATTGTTTGTAGAAGTAGAAATTTATTACAATTATCGTAATTACTACTACTAACTTCTGTAAAAATTTGTACAAATATTAATAATTATCTCTACAAAAAATAGTAATTTTCTCTACAAAAAATAGTAATACTTTACATCCCTTCTTCAAAAATATTCTATAACATTGTAGAAATTCTAAGTCATGTGAACAAAACAGAATTCTGCTATTGGCCAACGTTTTCTGACGTCGATCATAAACGGCCAGACAGCAGTAGCCGTTCGCCATGTTCACATAACAAAGCATGGTACATATACGAGTACCTATAACACATTATTATATTATAAGCACCGATGCGTTTGAGAAAATTTTAATAATAAATTCTATTGGTGGTAAGTACATTTATTATTGTTTCTGAATAATTTACCTTTAGATAACTAATTTAAATAACCTTAGTAGATTATTTTAAAAAAATAGTTGTGGCCAACGATCGAATGTTGTGCCCAACGATCGAATTTTGTGCCAAGTTCAATGATGTTTTTTGTCTTAATTGTGACATACCTACTTTCTCATTTTTGTTAGTTATCTGACTTAGTCATTTAATATCCAAATCAGTGTAAAGGTGATAAATATCCCCGTTTTAAGGGTATGAACAATTCAATTGGTATTAATTTTTAATTCATATTTTTCAGGTGCAGAAAAGCCAACTGAGACTGAGGGCGCTATTATTATTGTTATTTATTACATAATCAAGGTACTATTTTATGCTTTAAAATCTCTTGCAAAAAAAAAAACAAAACACATTTTTGCATATTACGGAGGCTGATAACCAAACAGCCATGTTTTGTATAAATCGATGTGTAATCATAAAATAAAAAAAAAGCTATTGAAATTGTCTGAGGTGAGGCATATTTTAATTTTTGCCATATCTCGTCGACAGTAAACACAAATGCAGAGAGGGAATCAAGGTCAATTACCATAGATATAAATTAAACGACAAAGTGTTTAACAATATGGTAAAAAGGTTTAATTATCCGGAAACAGATTTGTTTGCCACAAAACTAAATTGGAAAATGTTCAAGATTTATTTCATGGTTTTCAGTCCCAGAATCTGAATCCATTTATCTTAGATTGGGTAATGGTCAGGATATTATGCCTTTTCTGTCTTTTTACTATTATGTTTGCTTATCTCTTCTTTTAAGAAGAGCCATTCACGCCACAACAAGATTTCCCTGGTGCCAAGGAAATTGTACGAATCCTTCCTGATGGTGAAATATATTATGAAGGGTACAATAAATCTAATAAATACTTATATGAAATGTAATATATTGAATATATTAAGAACACATTCGTTCTGAAATTGGCTAATTGAACACTCAGTGATTTTTAAATTGCATCAATTAGCCAGTTGCATTAGTCTAGGTAGAGGTGCATGATAATTTTAACGTCTCTAACAGTAGGTGCCCTAAATCAATGTGTTGATTAAACCAATATATCGTTAAAAAGGATAGAAATTAAAAACTCTGATAGAATAAAGATGAGACATATTATCAAGGAAACACAATTGTTTCGTAATAGGGAGCAACATTTGATACTGACTATAGTCTATTTTTATGTACGAGAGAGTATTAATGAAGCGTTCGTAATCCATAGGCGTACCACTTCTTTTCGTAGACAGTTAAAATATTTTTTGAAGTTATTCCTCGAGTATACACTTATATTTTCACCTAATTAACCTGCTTATAACTTCTAAACAGCTGAAGGTAAAAAAGTGCAATTTTTTCTAAAATATTTTATTTTTCCACAAGGTATGTTAAGAACATTGTGTCAAACGGGTTATGTAGGTATAAGGGTTTAAACTTTTAACTTTTAAACAACGTTACCTTCATAAATAATAATTTTAATATAAAAACTACTTCTTACCTACAAATCCAAATCAGAATCGAAATCAGAAGATGAACTGTCGCAACCAATATTTACAATGAGTGGCTCGACCATTTCATCAGTAATATTGTCCAACTTCTACATTTTCTCTTCTTCTTTAATCGTATGATTTACTGCCTTTTCCCAGTTTTCAGGCTTCACATTATTTACAGCCTCCAAAAACAACTGTTTAACATCACTCGTTTTAAAAGAATTATTTTTTCTTGAAACTTCTCCCTTTATCTGTGCCCATATCAGTTCAATCGGGTTTACTTCGCAATGATATGGTGGTGATCTAACCACCGTCATCCCACGATTTTTTGCAATTTCATCAATTTCATATTTTTTTAATTTCTCTTTATGAAGGGAACACAAATGATACAGATCTTTTCTCACAGAACCGGGATGGAACTTAATATTCTTTGAATTTAGCCAATTCTGTAAATCTTTTTTTAACTACTTGGTTGTGGGCATTTTTTCTATAAGTCTCGAGTGATAACTTGCATTATCCATTACTATTATACAGTTCTGAGGAAAGAGATCTATAATTTGTTCGAACCACTCTTTAAAGTCATCAGCATTCATGTTCTCATGGTAGTCACCGGTACGAGTAGATTCAAAAGTCAATAAACCACCTTTAACAAAACCGTTTGAACTACCGATGTGTACTATTATTAGTCTGCGCCCCTTTCCTGATGGTGGATTTAAACCAGTAGATAAATTATTTAAAAAAGCCTTCGACTTGTAACAGTTTCATCTTGCCAAAATTTATTTGGTTTATGTCCCTCGTTGATCCATGTTTCATCTAAATAAAATATATTTCTTCTTTGGTTTCTCATTTCTTTTATAGTCCTTAGGTAATTTCTTCTCCATACTACAATATCGCTTCTTTCTATTAAAATAGACTTTCTGGAATGCTTTTTCCATAGAAAACCTATTTCTTTTAAAAGTTTCCATAGTGTGCTTCGACTCATTTCAGGGTAATTCTTATCATCTCGAACCGTGGCAAGAACTTTGTCTACTGTCGGAAATTCTTTTCTAAAGAAGAACGCATGCACTTTCCTTCGAAGCCTTTCTTTCAAAAGATTTTCTAATTGAAATTTTGGTTTTCCTGGAGCTTTACGTGCTGTTTGAAACTCGCCACATTTCTCTTCTTTAACAACTCTGTAAATCGTAGATTTCCCAACACCAAGCGTACTACTAACTAATTCCACTGTGTCATCAACACTTTTACATAAATGTTTGTCTGTAAATGATTTAAAACAATTAAATATTATTGTTTTTTCATTAACTGTTAAAGGACCGATTTTTTGTCGTTTACGCGGCCCTTCCAAATTTTCCATGATCACACTAGAATTCATACTGCACCTTGCAAGTTGCAACTAAACGACATTTAGTAAACTGTCAAGAATACACAACTTGGACCTCCTTACTAAATGGAAAACCTATAATCGCATTTTCGGTGAAATTTGTTGGGAAGGTATTTATCTACTTATAATTCGATTACTGTAAGAAATTCTTGGAAT